ACATGGAGGTGCTCCTGCTCAGTGGGTGGGTGGAGCCTAAAGCAGTGCGTTCAGAAGGGGGTGTGGACAAACCACAGTGTAAGGCGGGGCTCCATGTGACGTCGTCAGGCTGCACACAAACAGGAAGTGTCAGTGCTTGCTCGTCTGGCCCACAGATTAGACAGACAGGTGAGTTACCTGCGTGCAGGTGTTCGGGTTCAGCTGAGGCACACATCTGGATCCCAAAGGACAGACTGAACTTCCTGTCAGCAAACACAAACACTTAATTAAAAACATCCGTTTCCTTCTGGTTTCACTTTGACCTCTGTTACAAACTGCACAGGAGGTCACATGATCTCACACTGCTGTCACTCACCTGAGCTGCTGACAGCGTCTGTGACCGGAGGACTGCAGGTGAGGTCCAGATGAGGGAGGGGAGTCAGGGGGAGAGGTGTGATCAAAGAGCAGGAGGAGGAGCAAATGTCCTCCTCGCACGAAGACTCCAGAGGATCCAGGGACACTCTGGAGCACTCGATCACAATGTCATGGACTTCGTAACACCTCCACCTGAGTGGGAGGAGGGGAGTGTCAGTCTGAGCTCAGCAGGGAGCAGCTCGCTAACTCCAGCTGCTTCTGCTCGCCAACAGCTTCAAATAAATCGCCCAGTAAAGGTGTCCCACAGCTCAGTGCTGGGCCCATTACAGCACCAGCAGTCAGAGGTTTGGACACAGCTTCACATTTAATGGTTTTTCTTTCATCACTGTTTACAGTGTAAATTAGGGCTGCTCGATTATGGCAAAAATGATCATCACGATTATTTTCACTGAAATTGAGATCACGATTATTTGACGATATTTATTTAACCCTTTAAGACCTACTATAGAACCAAGTCCACCAGAGCTCATATTTTTTTTTTTTACATGCTGTAGTGCCATTTGTGGGAGCATTTCAAGTTGCTTTACATCAATACAACTGTTATAGCCCATATTGTAATAATATGTATGCATTAAGTCCATAGTAATTACATAAATTGCAAAAAAGTGCAATAAACTACAAAAAAATTTCGAAAATCGCTTTTGTTTTGTTTACATATATTTCTACTTGGAGAAATTTAAGAGGTTTATCCCTCAAAACTTTAAATACAATAAAGTTGCAAAAAATAGTTTACAACAACAGGAAATTTATTTTGAGTGTCTTCATAGTTTTATTTTGGAGATACAGCAATTTTTATATACTGCAGGAAAAACAAAAAACAATCCTATGATGCAAATTTGCAAAGAAAACAGCAGGTGCATCATTTCACTGTGGGAAGTGTTACGAACAGCTGATAGGAACGGCAAAGCATGTTTCTGGAATATTATGTTTTTGTTCCTGGAAGCGCTTTTTATGCAGTTTTTGCAAAGCTATATGTGGAACGAAACCGTGACCGAGGACAAGCTGATGGCATCAGATGTAAGTACAACTCCTCCGGTTTCATATGCAAAACAAATTATTGCGCTAGCTTACACAGTTCAGGTTCTACAGGGATTTAAAAATAGTTACGCAAAACGGAGTGTGCTGCTCTGACCGGCTTTAAAGGGTTAACAATGACTTTAAAAAATAATATAAAATAGTGTGCAACACCACTGAAGTTTGTTTTTTTTTAAACTCTCTTTTCAACCAACGGCAGTCACTCTCCAAATAACTTCTGCTTAGCTTTCCAAGCTTCCCTCGGGTCCTCTTAATCAGCGGTCTCCAACCTTTTTTGCGCCACGGACGGTTTATGCCCGACAATATTTTCACGGACCGGCCTTTAAGGTGTCGCGGATAAATGAGGGAGGGGCTAATAATCGGCTCAGTCATTTTTAATGATCGTTGAAAGCCCAGATCGTAATCGTGATTAAAATTCGATTAATTGAGCAGCCCTAGTGTAAATTCTCACTGAAGGCATCAAACTGAATGAAAACGTGGAATTATGAAGTAACTCCAAACATGTTTTATATCCACCCTCTGCTTCGATTCCTGCTTCGCTCACTCTTGGCCTTCTCTCCACGAGCTTCATGAGGTCATCTCCTGAAATGGTTTCCAACAGTCTTGAAGGAGTTCAGAGATGCTGAGCGTTTGTCGGGCCTTTGCCTTCACTCTGCGCTCCATCTCATCCCAAACCAGCTCCACTGGGTTCAGGTCAGGTGACTGTGGAGGCCAGGCCTCCATCACTCTCCTTCTTGGTCCTCACACAGCCTGGAGGTGTGTTTGGGGTCTTGTTGGAGAATAAATGATGGGACGGCATGTCGCTGCAGGATGCTGTGGTGGCCATGCTGGGTCAGTGTGCCTTCAGTTTGGAAGAAATCCCCAACAGTGTCACCATCACACCCCCTCCTCCATGCTTCACAGTGGGAACATGCACGTGGAGACCATCGTTCACCTTTTCTCCCCAAAGACACGGCAGGTGGAACCAAAGATCTCAGGTTTGGACTCATCAGACCAAAGCACAGATGGTCTGATGTCCATTTGTTGTGTTTCTTGGTCCAAACAAATCTCTTCTTGTTGCTTTATCTTAGTCGTGGTTTCTCAGCAGCTGTTTGACCATAAAGGTCTGATTCACACCGTCTCCTCTGAACATGTACAGATGTGTCTGCTACTGGAGCTCTGTGTGGCATCTGTCTGGGCTCTGATCTGAGCTGCTGCTACATGATCCCAGATGTCTTCAGTTTGTATCTACAATGTGGAAAGTAGCACCAATGAAGAAAGCCCACTAAATGAGAAGGTGTGTCCAGAGTTCTGACTGGTAGTGCAGATCTGATATGACGATGACACGTCTTTCATGTTACTAAAATCTAACCCAACCCGACCTCTGGTGACCCGGACTCTCCTGTTTAATTTGCAGCAGTTTGAAACTCAATGTTCAAACGCTCAGTCACGCTGCAGTTCATACTTTACTCTGATTGGACAGCAGAGGTCATGTTTCGTTCATGCTGTGCTTCAGGTCACGTCTCAGAGGACACGCTGTCAGTTTGGATACTGACGTTCGTGGTAGTGACGAGTGCCACTCTCAAACGACATGCTCGCATTATCTCGCTTTTGTTTATTCTTTATGGACCTTTTCATTGGTCGCAGTCATCTTTGCTTTCCTGTTTCTACAGGAACAAGTTTTTCCACTCTGAGTAGTAATCGCTATGTTGTATTTTGTTAGTTAACGGTGGTCGCTTTTACTGCCACCTTCTGGCAGTAAGTGTATATTACATCCTGCAGACAGCAGTGGAAGAGAAAACATATTTCAAACAGAAAACAGTCAAAGTATTCTTGTCATTTTAAATGTTTGGAGTTAGAGACGTCAGAGTGGCGATACCCAGCTGAATGCCAGGATAAGAAAACCAAAGAAAACCGTGCAGTTCACGGGTAACTAGGCTACACTGCCTTTCTTATCAGCGTGAGAGGGTGGAGTTATCACGGCAGGTACGCTAGTCGTCGTGTCACACGTAGCTTCTGCGTCTGAGCGACTTCCTTCGTTTTCAGGATAGCAGACTTTTGTAGCTGCATGCTGCCGTCTTCACTTCCTGAAGAACTGCAGGATCAGAGTTTCGCTCCTTAATCCTCAGATAGATGCTAAAGAAGTGCACAAGGTTTCATTCCAGGCCCTCCTTATCCAATCTGTGTGTTTAGCTGTGTATTTCTATCATCTCCTAAATCACTGATCAGGCTTGGCCGACCTCCCTCAGACTAACAGCTGCTGCAGACGTCCCTGTTTTTTAAAGCTGGTTACAAACTTGGAGATGAAATGTGTTGCTCTGAGGCCACATCGTGTGTGCGCCCGTGTTATTTGAACCTGCTGACAGATCAGAGCGCATCACTTCCTGTCATTAGCTGCAATCGAGTGGCGAGCTTCGTCGTCAGATAAAGGAAAGTTTGATGTTGAGCTGCGGTAAACACGCCTCTGCGACGCGAATTCAGCTGGACAGGATACTTTAAGAAAACTCAATCAGATGTTATTTTCTTTCTTTCTTGTTGATTTGCATTCGGTTGAGCTCAGCGCTGGGTTCACTCTGTCAAAGGACCTGCTGACCTGGTTCTGCACGCTCAGGTGTGGTTTCTGTCTCCAAGCTGGACTCACCTGGACGGGTCCAGTTCGTAGTCCTGAGTGCCTGTAACGAGCTCTGGGTGAACCCGGACGTGTTCCAACATCGGCTGACGGGACAGGACAGAGTGTGAGGTGAAACTGAAGGAACACCTGCGGTCATCACATCAGTACCGCCCCCTGCAGGTGTGCACTCACCTTCACCACCTCCTGGAAGGTGTCCAGGTTCTCCTTCATGCTGTAGTGCAGCCGCAGGTAGGAGATGAAGCTACAGGGGAACATCCCATACAGGCGGTGGAACAGAGAGTACGTACCTGCATGGAGGTGCACCAGGTGGGCCACAGGCTCATGACCTGCACGAGCCAATCAGAAAACATCTTATCAACCACTCAGAGAAGCAGACTGACCAATCAGAAAGCATAAGGAGCTGCTTCCTGCAGCGCCCCCTGCTGTGCGAGTGAGTTACCTGGGTTTTTGCAGCTGCGGGATGCAAGGCGCCCAAACACGTCAAAGAAGTCATTGATGTGCTGCTTCCCGGCCTGAGGAATCATGGGTAACAGAGTGACCAGGACCAGGACTCCCGTGATAAGGACGACCACATCGCTGTCCGTCTGAAAAACAGGAAGTGGAATTCTGAGTTTACAGCAGCAGGAATCCGACCTGTGATTCGACCTCACATGATCGACATCATGACAGAATCTGAATGTGCAGGAGGACAGGTGTGTCTCAGGTGTGTGTGTATTACCTTGAGGCAGCGCAGCAGTGACAGCAGCAGCGGCGAGCGGCTGATGTGATGAACCCATGGCGGCTGTTTCCTGATCAGGTGACCCAGCAGGGTGAGGGCGCCCAGCCTGGTCCCGGATCGACTCACAGACTCGTTGAGCTTCTCCAGCAGCACCTAGTGGGCGGGGCCAACAGGTGTTAGAGTCACAGAGATAAAGAACAGGAGATCTGCGAGCAGGCGAGGCTCACTTTGTGATGCGGCTCCCTGATGGAGGAGAGGAGGAGCAGGGCCTGAGAAGATGACGAGTCCAGGTAGTACTCCACCACGGAGGAGAGGACAGCGCCCCCTTTGTCTGAGAGGAGAAACATGCATGCTGGGAGCTCTGCACTGATTGGCCGTCACAAGTGATGTCAGACTGAGTTGATAAGGTTGCTTTGTTGGACGTCAGCAAAACTGCAGCTTCGTGATTGGTTCACGTGGTGAGCGCGTCACAGAGATGCAGACCTGCGTCATTCCTTCGTGCTGCACAGTTGAACTCACCTGTACTCAGCTGCTGGTTGACTGCAGCTCTCACTCGCTCCGCCTCCTGCAGCTCTGAACTGTCCAGTGAGAGCAGGAGCTCGCTGATGCTCGCCTGCTCCCTGGACATCGCGGACACCTGCAATACGGCCAGACAGTGAACGCATCATAACACAGGCCAGACAGCTGAACGTCACGTGAGGTCACGTTGACGTCATCGTGTTCAGTTCTCTGTGACAGAGGAACAAAATCAATAATCGATGATTATCTGCTACTTCTTTTTCTGTCCCCACACAGTCATCAGTGTGTGCTGGCCTAACACTGCGCAAACTTTGACCTCACGCCTGTTGTGTAACAGCTGCTGTCACGTCACTGGTAGCCCTCCGTTAGCAGCTGATGCTAATCTAACATGCTAACAAGCAGTGTAGCGGCCACGTACCGGCGTCCCGGGACCCGACCCCGCGGAGGAGCCTCCGGCCGGGATACGGAGCGCAGACAGCCGCTCAAACCGACCAAAGAGCCGCAGAGACGGTTACCTTCAGACCTGCTGATCCCAGCACGGAGCAGCCATCTTCAGCTACAGCAGGACCCGCCCACCGCGGTGACACGAGCCTCAGCAGCCAATCACACACAGGAGGCGTTCAGAGCCACCCGTCAAGATGGGAAAAAGGATGATTTATTATTATTATTATTATTATTATTGTTGTTGTTGTTGTTATACTTTTGTGTGGACACAAACAAACAGCTGGGGCCCGTTCTTCGTACGTCGCTTACTACATCCGAGACCAAATCATCGCGCTAACTCTGAGCTCGCTAATCCGGTTCCCCGAACACACCTGTTGTTGACGATCAGTACAGCTGGATGAAGTAATGTGAGATCACTGGGTGGCTTAACAGGGGCTACGCATCGATAGTAGAAACATTGATCGGCAACCCTCTGATTGGTCGGCGAAAATGTCGAAGGAGTGCGCTCGGCTCGGTATTTTTCGGCAGCAGAGCAAGAACTCTTGATTGAGGGATTTCAGGAGTTTCAGAGTTTAATCAGAACGCAAGGGAACACTGCAAAGGCTGCAAAAGCAAGGAGAGAGGGCTGGCAGGAAGTTGCTGACAAATTAAACTCGTAAGTAATGTATTATATTATATTACATTATGTCCTCTTTCACATTAGAGCCACGACAGGACCCACTAGAACATGGGAACAAGTAAAAGTGAAATATAAGAATATTCTACAGAATGGTAATATTTATCACTTATATTGCTTTTAGTCTCTTGGAAAGAGACCCTGAAATAATCTGTTTGTTTATAACAGCAACCAAGAAAAGGGCGGAGCAAAAAAAGACAGGTGGTGGTCCTGCACCCCCTCGTCACACCCCGGCAGAGGAGCTGGCCCTAGGGTTGAATGCCACCAGACCCATTGTTGAGGGCATCCCTGGGGGCAGCTCTTCCTTAGACCAGCAGCCGGGGTGCAGTAGCAGCAGCACCTTCATAACTGGTAAATCAGCCCATAATTCTATTTGTACAATGTAAAATATTTGGTTGTTGCCTTAATTAAAATGCTTTTTGTACTTTGACATTTATTGACACTGTGGGTTTTTGTGTGTGTAGTTTTACATAACACTCCATCACTTTTACCTGTTCCCATGCAAGGGGTGACTGAAGCATGCACAGTAAGTTGGGATATATATATATATCTTTTTTTTATTTATTATTATTTAGACCAATAATAATAGTCACAAAATAAAAGACACCATTTTGTTTCCATTGCACAGGACAGTGAAGCAACCCTGTCAGATGACTGTGGTTTGGAGGAAGTCCCTGTAAGTGCCTACTTTGGCCTGAATTTGTATCTACTTGTGTACTTCCATGTGTTTCTGACTCAGTATGATTTGCAGGCAGAGAGGCCTGATACAGAGGTGGGCAGTCTTGTAATTAATTTTACTTCCTATGTGACATGTATTGACCGTTAAATGTTGTCTCTACAATTGAAACAGGATGACATTCGTTTGCTCTTTAAGAGAAGTCTCCAGCAAAAAATGGAGTACACTGAGCTGAAGAAACAAAAGCTCCTAGGTGAACTCGAACTTCAAGCTCTAATGAGGCAAAAAGTTCAACTAGAAATCGAGTTGCTTCAAAAGGAACTTCAGAGTAAGTAAACATACACTTTCATACAGAGCACTATTGACGACCTTGCGTGACACAGCATATATGATTTTTTTCCAGGCAAATGATGACTGGCTTTTTTTTTGATGAGACAGAAAAAGATGCTCAAATAAATTTCAATGAAAAATATGTTTTGTCATGTTTTTAATATTTGAAATTGTGTTGCACAATCCTGTCCCGTGCAGCTCTGCCACTAGGTTGGTCCAAGTGCACTGGCTGGAGGTCATCATCAGGCCGCACCTCCACCACAGGAGTCCTCTCCTTTCTGATGGTGGCAATGTTGTGCAGTACGGCACATGCAACAGTAATGTCACATGCCCCGTCAGGTGCAACCCTCAGACTTTTCAGACACTGAAATCTTCCCTCTATTTGACCAAAGGTCATTTCAATGCGTGCCCTTGTCCTGGCTAGAGCTGCATTGTAGCGGGTTTGTGGCCCAGGCCTGGGGTCAGGGAACGGTGTCATGAAGTACTGCCTGCATGCATAACCTGTGTAATGGAGAAATGCTGTTATGTTAGGCCCAAAATAAGTCTCTTTTTCTTACCACGCTCAAATAATGTGCACAACCCTGACTCTGAAAATCCTTCAGTCATGCACTGATCCGGAACATTTAGCTTCCACATTTGTGATGTGGCACATAGTCACACACCATCTAAGAGATTACATTATATGTGAACACACTCACACACGCACACACACACACACACAGACACACACAGACACACACACACACAGACACACACACACACACACACACACACACACACACGCACACACAGACACACACACGCACACACACACGCACACACAAACACACACGCACAGACACACCTGCCTGCAGTTTAAAGGAGCAGCTGCTGTTTTCTTGCTGGTAATCAATATTCGATAATCAGGAGACTCTCTGAAGAAGTGTGCTGCTGCTTTTCAGCTTTTTCCTTTTAAACAAATTTAAAGTGAAACAACACAAAACACTGCAAACCACAACACAATAAAATATGGAGAGAAAAAAAAGGGGGGGTGGGGGGAGAACGCCCAGATCTTTAATTAAGGGAAAGGTTGTCATTT